CATCTCAAAAAAAAAAAAAAAAAAATATAAAAAAAAAAAAAAAAAAAAAAAGTTATTAAAATGTTTATATCTCTGAGGTGGTTGAATTACTTGATCTTCCAAAGCCCTGGAATTAGATACAGCATTAAAACATTAAATCTTAATCCATTCAGCCTTTTCCCTCCATTACATTCAAGCAAATGTATGTTGAGCATTTCTTCCTAATACATTGTGTAAAACGGTGTGCTAAGGCATTGTGGGATGAGCAAGGTGAAGTTGTAACCCCCAGTCAGCTTTGGAGCTTGAAATCTAGTGGGTATTTTTATATACCAGCAAAAGACATTTAGAAAACGAATATTTCAAACAATACCATTTACGATAGCATTAAAAAATATCGACTACCTAGGAGTAGATCTAACAAAAGACCTGCAAGACTCTTGGCAAGTGAGCGTGGAAGGAAATGCTGTAAATATCAGAATGTAACGCTATTGGAAATATGTCAGTTCTCTCCAAATTTAGCCAGAGATGTAGGGCAAGTTTAAGGAAATTTTAGCAGGTATTTTTGTGGAAATGGAGAAGGTGATTTTTAAATGTATATGGAAGTTTAAAGGGCCAGGAATAGCCAATAAAATACTGAAAAAAGGGGAAAGAAGTTGCAGGACTTAATTACCCCATGGCAAGATTTATTGTAAAGCTGCAGTAATCAGACATGGTCTTCATACAAGGAGAGACAAATAGATCAATGACACTGGAGTATCCAGAATGAGACCCGCACAGGTAGTCACCTGATTAATGACAGTGGTGGGGCTGGAGTACAATATAGAAGTGAGGGCCTTTTCTGTACATGGTGCTGGGTCAAGTACATTTCCATGTAGAAAAAAATGATTTTGGCCAGTACCTCATATCATACACAGAAATCAGTTCCAGAAAGATGAAGTCAAAATGTAAAGGGTAAAACAATAACTTTGTTAGAGGTAAATAGCGTTTCCTTATAACTTTGGGCTAGGTAAGAACCTCTTAAGTTTGAAACAAGAAGTACTATCCAAGGGAAAGACTGATAAATTGAACTACATTGCAATTAAGAATCTCCGCTCATCCAAAGACCAGTATAAAGACAGCGAAAAGGTAAGCCACTGTCAGAGAAAGTATTTGCAACATGCATCTCCAGTAAAGGATTTGTAGTCAGAGTATATAAAGAACTCTACCAAGCAAGCAAGAAAAAGCCATGCAGCCTAATTTTAAAAATGGGCAAAGGACTTGCACAGGCACCTCACAAAAGAAGATATTCAAACAGTCCATAAACACGTCTCAACAGGCATCCAGCTTCATTTACGCAGGAAAGCCCCCATGCAGTATCACTACATACCCAGCAGATGGCGCCACCGACCAGGGCAAAGAACACCAGGTACTGAGCGGCTGAGAAACAAATGAAACCCTCAGATGCTGCTTCCTGGCCCAGGGCTGTTGGCGAGCTTCTGAACATCCCCAAATCTCACTTGCTGTTTTGGCCTGTGCAGTGGCAATAGTGTGCTCATCTTCAGGTTACTGAGAGTCTGCAGGTCACATGAAGCCCTTGCTGAGAACCAGGCACATAGGGGCTCCTTGAATCTTCTTTTCAGGACTTACTGCCCTGCCCTCTCTGCCTATAAGGGACTTCTGGTGGTTACTAGGATTTTTCCCCTCTGAGATTATTTAATGAGAGCAACAATAACAATAGCTAGCACTTGTATCATACATAGTAACTGCCAGGTTAGTTATCCGTTATCTCTCAACACCACCAAAATAGGTAGATACTAAAGTATTTAGGTACTATTGCTGTTCCCATTTTACAGGTGAGATAACTGAGGTGCACAGAGAGAAAGTAACTTGCTCAAGATCACCCAGCTAATAAGTGATGAAGATGTGCTCAGACCCAGGCATTCCAGTGTCTGTGATAGCCATATGCTCTCATTATACCAGTGTTTGTAATTAAGCACATACTCTAGTGCCTCTCAGGAAATACCAGACTTTGTCTACTTCCTGCTCTGGTTTCACTGAACCATCCGATCACAGCTCCTCCCCTGAAGTCCTCTTTCCCTGACTCTTTGAATCTAGCCTGATCTCTTTTTCCATGTTCCTGGAATATTCTTTGGATAATGGAGTAATAAGGTGAATAATGGCCCCCATCACAATGACCGTAATATAATCACAGTGGCAGCCGAGCTTGCTTCTGTTGAGTCCTCGCTGTGTGGCAGGTGCTGTGCTCGGCTCTTTCTGTGCATGATCACGTTGCCTTTCTGGAACAACCCAGTGAGAAGGCCTTGTCTGTTCCTACCACTGTGTAGAATCTAAGCTGCAGAGCGGTGAAGCGCCTTGTCCAAGCCACAGGAAGTGGCAGGGCCAGAGGTCAAGCCCAAGTCTGTCTGCAGACTCCAAAGCCTGACCTCTTCACCGTAGCTCTGCGCTGTCACTTTCGTGTCTGGCATTTGGATCCCTGGCTATGTTTAGTTGTGCATGCTTTGATCTAAGTTATGTTCACAAAGACCATCCCTGCCCTCTTCAGCATTTATTGAACACCTGCTATGTATCAGATGTTCGGGGTCACCAAGATCAATAAGATGATGGTGCTGACCTTGAGGAACTGAGGTCTAGTAAGGGAGGCAGATCTTTGCAAAGGAGGGTGGGCTGTGCAGTGGTAAATGCATATGGGTACAGAGGTGCCAGTGAGGAGGGAACAATTAAATTCACCTGACAGGGTGATGGGGAAGGCTTTACCAAGAGATGCCCAAGCTAGGCTTTGAAATATAAGTCAGAGTTTCCTGTTTGACAAGGACAGCAAGGACGTTCTAAGCAGAAAGCCCCATCAATTGAAGTCAGACATGGTTGTAAAGAATTTAAAATTTCCTCTCCTTAATGGGGATCTTCAGGGCAGACCCACTCACCTAAGCCGCTGCCTCCCACTGGCTAGGAGTATAATGTTTGATGGTAATAGATGTACACAGAAGAAAATTCCAGAGTGAAGGAGAGTCCACCCTTCCCCCATATTGCCAATGATAAGGCTGCGGGGTGTCCAGCATATGGTGGCCTACGTGGAGAGTGTCACTGATGGCTACAGCTGGAGTGGCGCAGTGGCTGTAAAACTTCAGTGGGACTGGGACCCTGCACCAGAAGTCCAATTCACTGGGTCTGGGACAGCTTACAAGGGTGATTCTGATGCAGGATGCCTGGGAACTGCAATTTGGAAAACTGCTCTTCCAAACTCTTGGGAAAGACGCACTTGAGGCAAGATGAAGATGCAGATTTCGGAGAAGGTCCTCCAACGATTCATCCCGGGGTAGTTCAAGTGCTGTTTGAGTTCCCTAATCATACAGGGGAGCCGGCCCCATACCCCCACCTGAAGCCCCATGGGTAGACTTGGATACAAATGGTTGAGGATTTGTGTTTTTTGGGGGGGCTCTTCTCATTACTGCATATTAAAAATCGCATGTCATTTCTAATTAATTAAATGCTTAATTTTATACTATGTCTTTAAAGCATAACAGACAGTAACGGTATTAATATGTAAACCCCAGCTCCTCTAAATAGCAGATTGTTCTTTATTGTCACATCTTCAAGGTTCTTCCTCTTTATCTCTTACTCATTTTTAGAAGTTATAGGTGGGACAATCTTATCTAGCCCTTTCCTTCCTTGCTCTCACCAGACCCCCAGCTCTTTAAACTGAAGATGACCATAAAGAAATTAGGAGGGGAGGGGACTTTTCCTGAGTCACTTTCTCTTGGCTTCTGCTTTTCCTTCTCAAGCCTGAAGCTCCCTTGACAGGTGAAGTTACCTGGTTCTGTGGGCCCTGGAGAAGCCGTCTTAAAAGCTGGGCCTGACAGCACGCCCAGGGCATCCAGCCAGGCTTCTGGTACCTGCACTGCTCAGGACTGGCCTCAGGGATTCTTTCGGTCTCCCCTACTAGCAAAGAGGCCTTGAGGACTGGACAATGTCTACCTGTCTCTGTTCTAGCACCTGGCACCTAAGTCTGTTTGGGTAGATGAAATATAGCTCCTTAGCCTCTCCAGCCATTGATTGATTGATTCAGACAGAGTCTTGCTCTGTCACCCAGCCTGGAGTGCAGTGGCACAATCTCGGCTCACTGCAACCTCTGCCTCCTTCAAGCAGTGCTACTTGCCTCAGCCTCCCTAGTACCTGTAATTATAGGTACCCACCACCATGCCTGGCTAATTTTTGTATTTTTAGTAGAGATGGGGTTTCGCCATGTTGACCAGGCTGATCTTGAACTCCTGACCTCAGGTGATCCACCCGCCTCAGCCTCCCAAAGTGCTGGGATTACAGGCATGAGCCACCGTGCCCAGCCAGCCCATTTAATTCTGTGAATTTAACAGTCTGTTAGCAAATAAGACCTTTGCCCTTGGACTACAGACCACCCATATCATTTGAGCCATAAGGTCTGACGGGCATACTGCACTTGAGGAGGGATAGTGAGCATTCCAGGGAGAATTGCATGTGATTTTTGCCCCAGCATCTGCCCTGGGACCCAGCCTTCCTAAGCTGTGACTCTGTTGCTCTGAATCTCAACATTAGCCTGGCTGCAGGTCTTGTGTTAGGCCTCCAGCCTGAGCTGTATATCCCCACTTCTTCTGATGGCATCAGCACCACGGGAAGCGTGTGAAACAGGCTGTGCCTGCTTTTCCCTCAGTCCTGCTGGATATGAATCTCTGAGGGGGCTCCGGGAGCCCCCACTCGATCCATTTCTCTGGGTGATTCTCTTGCACAGTGTGGTTTGAGAGTAGCTGACTTCAAGGGTTTGATGGGGTTTTTTTTTTGTCTTTGCATTGCTGTGTCCTTGGCTTAACCCTTAAAGCATCATCTGCTATTTTTCTTGGGTTGTGAGTTACGTCTAATCTGAATGGGAAATTGCACTACCCAAACCTGAAAAAGCACTGCTGTATTATCTCCAAAATACTGCTAATGGTCATTGAACTTGGCTTGCATTTCAGTTGGTCACCTTTAATTTCCTTTTCTCTGTTTTCTCTCAGATATCTGTACCACGTTTTGACCAAAAACACCACAGTCACAGAACAGAACCGGAACCTGCTAGTGGAGACCATCCGCTCCATCACCGAGATCCTCATCTGGGGAGATCAGAATGACAGCTCTGTATTTGAGTGAGGGTTTCTCGTGATTACTGTTTTTTGATCATTCGTCTTTGAATGTTTTTCTGAATGTATACCATGAGTCATTCCTGATGATGTCAGGATTTGACGAGAATTTGTTCTTGCCCAGATATCTATCTATCTCTAGCTATAAAAAAAAAAATGCCCTTGAAACACTATAGAAATGCAAGCCAAAAATGGGGAAGTTATGGAAATGAGTGTCTCTAGAAAACCTGAAAATGTCATGGGTAATTTTCCTCCAGGTTGTGTCTGATTCTTTTCCCAAAGGAAGGATAACTTGTCTGGGTGGTTAGATTGTACGTGAACAGAAGGTCTGTGCCCTGGGGAGTCACCGAGGGCTCCCGGTTGCCATGTTTACTGATGACCAGACACAGGGCTGAGCTCCCAATGCGACAATCCAGCTAAATTTCCCGCCCACCCCATCGTGGAGGTCCTGTTGGTGTCCCCCTTTTGGCTCAAGGTCACATAGGTGGTAAGCGGTGGAAAGGTGACACACTCCCAGAATCTGTGAGGGGTTTCCTCGACTCTCGTACTTCCTAGGTAAGCAGTCCTCAGCCAGGCTCTTTATCTCCCAAAGCTTCAGTTTCTTTACCTTTAAAGGAGAGAGAAAAAGTTCTCTTTGTCTAGTGCCTGGCACAGAAATAAATGATAGCAAATGATAAAGACAGGTGTGCCTCACTGGACAGTTGAAAAGCAAGGACCGCCGCGTGCCGTGGTTCACACCTGTAATCTCAGAGCTTTGGGAGACTGAGGCAGGAGGGTCGCTTGAGCCCAGGAGTTCGAGACCAGCCTGGGCAACATAGGGAGACCCTGACTCTACGTATAATTAAAACATTAGTTATGCATGGTGGTGGGCACCTGTGGCCCCAGCTACTCAAAAGGTTGAGATAGGAGGATTGCCTGAGCCCAGGAGGTCCAGGCTGCAATGAACCGTGATTGTGCCACTGCACTCCAGCCTGGGTGACAGAGTGAGACCATGTCTCAAAGAAAAAAACTAGGGCTGTAAACTGTGAACTACCCCCCTGATAGACCTGCCTTGATCTCTTAGTGCAAAAGAATTTGGGTCTGGGTTATGACACCCAGCAAACAAGAGAGAGTGTGTGTGTGTGTGTGTGTGTGTGTGTGTGTGTGTGTAAAAAAGTGTATTCTCAATTATAAATATTAAGGCCACTTTTAAAATTCATTTTTGAAAAGTAAACGTGTTCTATTTTTAACCTGGCTTCTTGTTAGATATCCTAATAAGAAGGATATTACCTTTTCTGTTTAACCTGGCTTCTTAGGTATCTTAATAAAAAAGATATTACCCTTTCTGTTTTCAGACAGAATTTGACAGCACTGAGCAAGTTCCCGAATATATGTTCAGGATCGTTTTATATTTTCATCAGTAAGGTTGTCTAATAAGGCTACTTGTGGAGATGCAAACTCCTCAAAATGCAAACCTGTAAACACTAGCTATGATCTCCAAAGCAAACATGAGTAACGAAATTGCGTTTATACATGGAACTAGCTTCGTTTAAGGATCCATGGGGAATGTGGCTTGGTTTGGCTTGGTTTTATTAGATGGAGTCTTGCTCTGTTGCCCAGGTTGGAGTGCAATGGCACGATCTTGGCTCACTGCAACCTCTGCCTCCCGGGTTCAAGTGATTTACCTGCCTCAGCCTCCCAAGTAGTTGGGATTACAGGCATGCACCACCACACTGGGCTAATTTTTATATTTTTAGTAGAGAC